ATCTGCACATCACAAAAACAAAATAAGCAAAATTAAAAGGCAAATGTCAGCCAGGTGGGGCGGTGTATGCCTGTAGTCCCAGCTACTTATGAGACTGAGGCAGGAGGATCACTTGAGCCAGGAGTTCAAGTCTGTTGAGTGCTATAAACATACCTGAGAATAGCCACTGCCACTCCAGCCGGGGCAACATAGCAAGATCCTGTCTCTCTCTATATATAAAGTTAAATGTCAAACTGGTTTAAAAAACATGTGCCCCATGTTTGGTGGCTCATGCCTGTAATCCCAGCACTTTGGAGGCTGAGGAAGGCGAATCACGAGGTCAAGAGACCGAAACCATCCTGGCTAACGTGGTGAAACCACATCTCTACTAAAAATACAAAAAAATTGCCGGGCCTGGTGGCAGGCGCCTGTAGTCCCAGCTACTCGGGAGGCTGAGGCAGGAGAATGGCGTGAACCTGGGAGGCGGAGCTTGCAGTGAGCCGAGATCGCGCCACTGCACTCCAGCCTGGGCAAAAGAGTGAGACTATGTCTCAAAAAAAAAAGTGTGCCCCATGTTCATGGCAGCATTATTCACAATAGCCAAAGTGGAAGCAATCTAAATGTTCATCAGTGGATGAATGGATGAACAAAATGTGGCATATACGGCTGGGCACGGTGGCTCACGCCTGTAATCCCAGCACTTTGGGAGGCCGAGGCAGGCAGATCACGAGGTCAGGAGATCGAGACCATCCTGGCCAATATCGTGAAACCCCATCTCTACTAAAAAATACAAAAATTAGCCTCCACCTCCCGGATTCAAGTGATTCTCCTGCCTCAGCCTCCCGAGTAGCTGGGATTACAGGCACTTGCCACCACATCTGGCTAATTTTTGTATTTTTAGTAGAGACGAGATTTCTCCATGTTGGCCAGATTGGTCCCAAACTCCTGACCGCAAGTGATCTGCCCACCTTGGCCTCCCGAAGTGCTTGGATTACAAGTGAGAGCTACCGGGCCCAGCCAAATAGTCCATTTTAAATGTGCCATCTGTTCCCTGCCAGGATGTTAACCAATACAGAACTGTTACCCAAACTAAACTGAGAAAGTCAGAATTTCTGACTGTCATGAAGACATGGAGGAGCCTCCAGGCCTTCTCTGCCACCCAGGTCTCGTTCCTCTAGCTGGCATTCCAGGCCTTGCACACTTTGGCCCTTACCTTCCCCTTAAGCTCATGACCACTGTGGCTCACAGGCTCACATAGCTGAACCATCTTCTCCCTGGCACGCTGTGGTTGGATGCTGTGGTTACAAGCTTGCCTCTGGCCTAGGCTGGGCTGGAGTTTGAATCCTGGCTCTGCCATTTCCAAGCTGTGTTATGTTAAATTCAACCTCATTTTCTCCACCTGAAAATGGGAATAAACCTTTCCAATACGATTTATCTGAAGTTTAAATGAGATCCCATTGGTAAAGTGCTCAACGCAAAACAACGGTTGCTTCGGAAGCAAGAGGTTTTTATAAACTTTAGTTTTCTTTTACTTTGTTACAAGTTTAATTTTGGAAGTGGAGCCAGGGGGTGGCACCGTGGCTCTAATCCCAGCAAAGTGCTGTAATCAGCACTTTGGGAGGCCCAGGCAGGCAGATCACTTGAGCCCAGGAGTTCAACATCAGCCTGGGCAACACGGTGAAACCCCGTCTCCACAAAAAACTAAAAAAAGTAACCAGGCATGGTGGCACATGCCTGGATCCCAGCTACTTGGGAAGCTGAGGTGGGAGGACCTGAGCTCGGGAGGTTGAGGCTGCAGTGGGCTGTGTTTGCACGACTGCACTCTGTCCTGAGCAACAGACTGAGACCCTGTCTCAAAAATAAAAAGAAAACAGAGCTAGATGCAGTGGCCCACTTCTGTAATCCTAGCACTTTAGGAGGCTGAGGCTGCAGGATCACTTGAGCCCAGGAGTTCGAGGCTGTGGTGAGCTGTGATTGCACCACTGCACTCCAGCCTATGCAGCACAGCCAGGCCTTGTCTCTTAAAAAAAAGAAAAGGAAAAACAAAGAAAATAGAAAAAAAGGCCAGGCGCGGTGGCTCACGCCTATAATCCTAGCACTTTGGGATACCTAGGTAGGCAGATCCACCTGAGGTCAGGAGCTTGAGACCTGCCTGGCCAATATGGCAAAACCCTGTCTCTACTAAAAACACAAAAATCAGTTGGGTGTGGTGGCATACGGCTATAATCCCAGCTACCTGGAAGACCGAGGCAGGAGAATTGCTTGAACCCAGGAGGTAGAGGATTCAGTAAACAGATCACGCCATTGCACTCCAGCCTGGGTAACAGAGCTAGATTCCCTCTCAGGAAAAAAAAAAAAAAAACGCCGGGCTCAGTGGCTCACACCTGTAATCCCAGCACTTTGGGAGGCCAAGGTGGGCAGATCACTTGAGGTCAGGAGTTCGAAACCAGCCTGGCCAACATGGTGAAACTCCGTCTCTACTAGAAATACAAAAATTAGCCGGGCACGGTGGTGCATGCCTGTAATCCCAGTTACTTGGGAGGCTGAGGCAGGAGAATCGCTTGAACCCACAGGGTGGAAGTTGCAGTGAGCTGAGATCGTGCCACTTCACTCCAGCCTGGGTGAAAGGGTGAGACTCCACTTTAAATAAATAAATAAATAAATGCCAGAGTTCCAGGATTCATCCTGACACAGATCAAGGAGAAAAACATTTGAGACTTAGTCATAATAATTCTATCCATGTGCCCTTTATCAACCCCTTCACTTGTACCTTAAGACAGCCTCACAAGGATCCTGTGGGCAGAGTAAATGTTACTCTTCCCATTTTACTGAGAAGGCACTGGAGCTCTGAAAGGCTGAGACTTGCCCAGAATTACCCAAGTAGTAAGTAACAGAGCTGGGGCCAGAAGCCAGGTTGTCAGGCTCCTTCATATCATCTGTTTTTGGAGATAAAAAAACATACCTTTCATCATTCTTACCGATATCTCATGAAATGAAGAGAATATGGATGGTTCATCAGGACTCACACTGCTGCTGGAGACACTGATATGCAAGTCCAAGGAGCACAGCCCAGGAATACTGCCCTCTAGGAAGGACAGCAAGGGACAGGAAGTGGGGCGAGGCTGGCCTTTCTGTTCCTCTCCCAAGGATTTCCTCAGACAGGATGAAGAGGGGCCACCCACAGTGCAGCTAGTAGCCAGCATTCCTGCAGGGTGGGATTTGAGAGGCCTTTGAACAGAATTCAAACCCCGCAGTCTGTCAAGCCACCTAAGAGAGTCATTCCTGCAACTCTCCATTTGTTCGTTTGTTTTGAGATGGAGTCCCACTCTCTCACCCAGGCTGGAGTGCAGTGGCACGATCTTGGCTCACTGCAACCTCTGCTGCCCGGGTTCAAGCGATTCTCCTGCTTCAGCCTCCCAGGTAGCTGGGATTACAGGCACCTGTCACCTCATGATCCACCTACCTCAGCCTCCCAAAACGCTGGGATTAGAGGCGTGAGCCACTGCACCTGGCCCTTGCAACTCTTTAGGCTTAGAATTTTCCAGGAGCAGCTAAAGCTTTTGATTTGTTGACACCTGAGTCCAGTTAACCTTTGGAAAGTGGGGAGGACAGGGAGGAAAGTGACCCAGAGAGGTAGGGTACCCTTGAGGCCTCCCCAGGGCCTCTGTGGCAAGGGCAGGGTCTCCCAGCTCTGAAGGTACAGGGCTTCTCTGAAAATTTGGTCCAGGAGGAAAAGCCAGGGATTATTTGGCTAGCAATGGAGTGCGAAAAGCCAGGCACCAGCCCGTTAGCCTGAATCCACTCAGCCCAGTCCTCCAGGCAGGGACGGGAATGACTTATGCAGAGGAATCTCTGAGCCACCTGCCACTCACACAATGCTACCTCATCCCTTGTCATGAGCACAGAGGCCTAACAAGCACTCAGCAGCACTGTTCTGAGCACTTCACAGGAAGGAATTCATTTAATCCGCACAACAACCTGAAGATCTTATGAGCTACATAGATCACCATTATCCTTATCTACATATGAGACCAAGCCCAGGGAGGAGGAAGATATCAGGGCAGCCACACTTTTGAGGCACACAGTGGGACTCCTGAAGCCTCCCACGTTCAGTGAAAATGGATCAACAGCAATGCCTTGCACGTGTTCTGAACTTTGGAGATTTTTGTTTTTGACAGTCTCGCTCTGTCACCCAGGCTGGAGTGCGGTGGCACAATCTTGGCCACTGCAACCTCTGCCTCCCGGGTTCAAAAGATTCTCCTGCCTCAGTCTCCCGAGTAGCTGGGATTACAGGCGCCCGCCACGCCCAGCTAATTTTTGTAGTTTTAGTAGAGATCAGGATTCACCATGTTGGCCAGGCTGGTCTCGAACTCCAGACTTCAGGTAATCCGCCCGCCTCAATCCCAAAGTGCTGGGATTACAGGGGTGAGCCACTGCGCCCGGCCTGAACTTTGGAGTTTGTAAAGGATCTTCCTTCCCTTGGCTCTTGGGACCCTCATATAGGGTGAAATAGGGCGTCTTATCAACTGGAGCCCAGAGAGATGGTGTGACTCACCCAAGGCCACACAGCTAGTGAGAGGTCTGGGGCGGGTTTGCTGCTGCCTAGACACGGGACGGATTCCCAGCCGACTGGTCAGATCGCGCTTCGCCCCAAGCCTTCCCGGCGCGGGTGCGGGCGCTGCCTCTCCTTCCTACGCCAGGGCGGGCGGGGCGGAGCGGATCGCGGCCTGGCGGCCTGGGCGCTGTCCGCGGTGCTGATCCTCCGCCGCGCCCCTGCGCGCCCAGCACCGGCGGGTTCCCCAGGTCGCCCTTCCAGCTCCCAGCTAAAGCCAGCTCCGCGAGCCCGGCGGCCCGCTGCGGGCCTCAGGCCCGGTTCCCGGGGCTTTCGGGGCTCCCGGGGTTCCCCCTCCCCCGACCGCGCGCCGCCGGCCTCCCCTCCCCCCGCCCCGCCCACGGCCCCTCCCCGCCCGTCTCAGGTCCCTCCCCTCCCCCTTTATCTCTCCCGCCCCCCGCACCCCTCCGGCTCGTTCGCCAGTTCCGGTCACGTTGCTGGGTGTTTACGCCTCGAGCCCGCCCCAGACCCCCCTTCGGCGCCCCCGAGCCCCCCGGAGCCCCGGCCCGACTGCCCCGCAGCCTCCCAGCAGCTGATGGCGCCGCAGCCAGGGCGGGCGCTGCGGATCCCCAGGCGCAGCTAGCGCGGGGGGAAGAGCGCCGCCCCCACCCAGCCCGGCCCGGACCCAGGGCCCCGCCGGCCGGTGGCTCCCAGGTCCCGAAGGTGAGGAGGCCGGTCGGTGGGCGTGGGGGGTGTGGGCGCCGGAGCGGCCCCAGAGGGGAGCAGCGCGGCCGAGCTCCAGCTCCCCCGGGAGGGCTGGCGCGGGGCTGGGCACCGCAGCGCGCGGGAGGCGGGCAGGACTCGCGGCGGGCTGCTGGCAGAAGTTGTCCTCCACCGCCCAGACCCGGGCCCTGCCTGGCGCTGACGGGCGTCCAGAGCGGCCCGAGGTCGAGCCCCGCCACCACCCGCCACACACACCTTTCTTTCTGCTGCCTTTGCCCTCCTCTCTGTTATCTCGCTTCCCTGTCCTCCTTAGTCTCCACATCCCCCCCAACCCCTGCCTTCCTTGGGAGTCATATTGGAGGCATAATTAGGGCAGAACCTGAAGCCTGAAGGGGGTGAGGGGCTCGAGTTTCCCCATACACCCCATTCCCGTGTGACTGGATCCTCAGCTTTGCTGAGGTGGGGGGTCCTGAGAGCTTCAGTGCAGAGGGCAGCCAGAGTTGAGGGGTTCAGGGGAAGGGGCTCTGGAGTGGAGAGGACCACAAGGTCCCTGGGGAATGTGGCTCCACCACTGGCTAAGTGGCCCCACCTTGCAGACAGAATCCTAGACATTTATCAAAGGCTGAATCCTCGTTCCAGACTCCAGTCCCCAGGAGAGCCAAGGATTTGGGGTTGGGGGACCAGCATACTTATTTTTTAATATGTGTATTTACTTGCCCTGGTGATGCCTAGTAAGACTCAATCCATTCTCCCTGTTGCAGCAACATTCATTATGGGCCTGTTCCTTGCAAGAGATTCCCAGAGACAAAGCCTTGCCCTCAGGAAGCATATGGCTTAGCACAGAAGCCAGGTGCATTCAGGCACATGCACGCGCGCACACACACACACACACAGAGGATGAAGACTTATGGCTTAGCACAGAAGCCAGGTGTGTGCAGGCACACGTGCACACACACACACAGAACAAAGAGTGATAACATGGCAGACTGTGGTGCTAGCTGCCACTCAGATTCCAACAAATTGCCTGGGGAACAGAGAGACAGGAGTCATTCCATCTTGGTGGGGGATCAGGGATGGCTTCATGGTAAAAGTCACACCAGAGCAAGGCCCTGAAGGATGGGTCAGGTTTCAAGAGGCAGAGATAAGGCGCATATAGAAAGCGAGGGGATGGCCTGGCTACAGGACTACTGGAAGACTTTGTCATCAGAGCAGCAAGAGGTAGAATCCAAAAAAGGAGAAGAGCAGCCTGCAGATGTGGACTGCTAAATGCAGGCTGATCTTCTCCTCTTTGGGATTCTCTTACGAGAGGCCATAAATGCCAGGATGAGCACCCGGTGGAGTGCTTCTAGTTGCCAGGCACTGTAGTTGCGTATACTGAGCAAACTACTTTACCTTTCTAAGCCTGTCTCCTCATCGATAAAGTGGATACATTAATAGAATCTTCAACATGGGGTTGTTGCCAAGATAAATGAGTTAATATATGTAAAATGCTAAGAACAGTACCAATTACTTATTATTACAAGTATTATTACTTATGCATTGATGCCATGTCCCAGAAAGGCTTCTTGAGTTCCTGCTCTCCTGTTGCCCCAGGCCTCTGAGTCAGGCCATGAACAGGAATAATGACTAAGAAACACAAAGCTCGTGTTGATTATTTCTTTTGAGACCGAGTTTTGCTCTTATTGCCGAGGTTGGAGTGCAGTGGTGCGATCTCAACTCACTGCAACCTCCGCCTCCCAGGTTCAAATGACTCTCCTGGCTCAGCCTCCCGAGTAGCTGGTACTACAGGTGCCCTCCATCACGCCCTGCTAATTTTTGTATTTTCAGTAGAGATGGGGTTTTGCCATGTTGGCCAGGCTTGTCTCAAACTCCTGACCTCAGGTGATCCGCCCCCGTCCGCCTCCCAAAGTGCTGGGATTACAGGCGTGAGCCACCGCGCCCGGCCTGATTCATTTATCTGTTCACTTATGGCCATGCCTGTCCTATGTAATATACCTGCCCTGACTATAAGAATAATAAAAATAAGTCTAACATTCTCTTTAAACAAGAAAACATACACACTTAAAGAACTTTAACAAAATGTGGCTATTGACTGTTAAGAACAGCACAAAGATATTTGTTGAGTTGATAAATATTTTCAGTTCCAAACAGAAAAGAAACACTAGGAAAAGCTGAAACTGGGACAAGAGAATCCATCAGTGAGTGAGGGGTGGCAGACAATGCAAACCCCGGGCAAGCAGGTCGCAAGAAGTGTGGAGTCTGGTTCTTCTCCCAGCGACCTCCTCTGCTTAAGGGAAAGAAAGAGGCGGCAGAGGCCAGGGAACCTTGAGCAGACGAAAAGGGTGTGGGGAAGGTGAGATTTAGATACCCAAGGAAAGACTGGACTGTAAAAGAGGTTTTCAAACTGCTGGTTAGCAGGCCAGGCACTGCGGCTTACGCCTGTAATCCCAGCACTTTGGGAGGCTGAGGCAGGTGGATCACCTGAGGTCAGGAGTTCAAGACTAGCCTGGCCAACATGACAAAAACCCATCTCTACTGAAAATACAAAAAAATAGCTGGGTGTTTTGGTGGGTGCCTGTAATTCCAGCTACTTGGGAGGCCGAGGCAGGAGAACTGCTTGAACCCAGGAGGCGGAGGTTGCAGTGAGCCAAGACTGAACCACTGCACTCTAGCCTGGGCAACAGAGGAGACTCTGTCTCAAAATAAAACAAACAAACAACAAAACAAAACAACTGAAGCGGGGAGAGAACTGCAGCTTCCCACTTGCCAAGTCGGTGGTAACTGGGTAGGAAAGTGAGTCCCAGAAGCTCCAAAGAGACAAGCAGGGGCCGGGCGTGGTGGCTCACGCCTGTAATCCCAGCACTTTGGGAGGCCGAGGCGGGCGGATCACGAGGTCAGAAGATCGAGACCATCCTGGCTAACACGGTGAAACCCTGTCTCTACTAAAAATACAAAAATTAGCCGGGTGTGGCGCCACTGCACTCCAGCTTGGGCGACAAAGCGAGACTCTGTCTCAAAAAAAAAAAAAAAAAAAAAAAAAGAGACAAGCAGGAACCAGGAAGACAGGTCGCGTCGTTTTCAGGGATCAGGAGCCCAGATCTCAGAGAGTCCAAACTGTGCCAGGGTCAAAAGGTTCCTGAGCCTGACACTTTACCCGTGATGGGGGCCTGAGCACAGAAGCCTTCTCCACCAACTTCCCCAAAGGGAAAAGTATTTGTAACTTTCAGACACATCAGAGACATGTTAAAAGTACTTGGAATTAACCCTATAAATTGTGAACCTTGTGTTAGGGTCTTTTTAATATTTTTGGTAACAATTTTTTTAAATGAATATTTTTTCATCAAGCTAGAAAGGCCAGGGACAGTGGCTCATGCCTGTAATCCCAGCACTTTGGGAGTCTGAGGCGAATGGATCACTTGAGGTCAGGAGATCGAGACCAGCCTGGCCAACATGGCAAAACCCTGTCTCTACTAAAAATACAAAAATTAGGCTGGGTGCGGTGGCTCAAACCTGTAATCCCAGCACTTTGGGAGGCCAAGGCAGGCGGATCATGAGGTCAGGAGATGGAGACCATCCTAGCTAACATGGTGAAACCCCGTCTCTACGAAAAATACAAAAAATTAGCCGGGCGTGGTGGCGGGCGCCTGTACTCCAGATACTCGGGAGGCTGAGGCAGGAGAATGGCATGAACCAGGGAGGCGGAGCTTGCAGTGAGCCGAGATTGTGCCATTGCACTCCAGCCTGGGCAACAGAGCGAGACTACGTCTCAAAAATATATATATATATATACAAAAATTAGCCAGGCGTGGTGGTGGGCGCCTGTAATCCCAGCTACTTGGGAGGCTGAGGCAGGAGAATCACTTGAATCAGGGAGGCAGAGGTGAGCCAAGATTGTGTCATTGCACTCCAGCCTGGGCAACAAGAGCAAAACTCCATCTTGGAAAAAAAAAAAAGAAGGAGAAGGACAAGGGGAAGGAAAAATTAACGGGAAAAAGAACTCAGAGAACCAGAAGAAGGAGGGGAGCAGAAACAATGCAGGCTCTGAGGTGCTCAGGACAGCGGACAGAGGAGTGCGACCCTCTTCCCCAAGCGTGTTAACTCAGGAGGCTAGACATCTAGTGCTGTGTTGTGGGGAAAGATGGAACTGATAGCTCCAGCCCTTCAGCTACTGTTACTGACCTGGGCCAAGTCCTCAGGCAGGAGCTTCCGAAGCCCAGATGTTCCAGGACTGCATTTATGATGGGAAAATCGGATGTTTTCCTGGCTTGGGCCTTCTGAAGTAGTGCCTGCGACTCCCCAGCCAGACAGAGAGATTTCTGTTGTCACCAGTTCCCTTCCCCACTCTATCTCCCACCCTCCCCCAAACAAACTAAACAATAATGTCTAAGAGAGAATATTTGCCAAGATCGTTTGTGACCCAAATTTCCGCCCTGAGAAAAGCAGCCTGCCTAGTTGGAAGCAAATACTCAAGTCGTTCTGGGAAAGCACAGAAACAGCTGGTTGGCTCAGCCTCTCACCGGTGGCCAGGGTCCAGTCTCCAGAGCTGTGTGGGAAGGGCTTTTACTCTTCAGAAACATTTGCATTTCAGTGGCTGGGAACAGACATTTTCTCTCTCTATCCTCAGCACAGGCCCACACACCCACCTTCGTCCTACAGGTGTGCGTACAGCAGACACAGCAGCGAGAGAGTCGAGAAACACACACACAGGTACTCCTTGAGGCACACACGCAGGCTCAGGCACACACACACATACGCAAGCACACAAACCCTGACCAAGACTCACAGTTCCATAGACACGCAGCTCACCTGTTTCTCCCGAGTTCTGCACCAGTGTAATATGTTTTATTCCATCTTTTTTTTTTCTGAGACAGGATCTCACTCTCTGTCACCCAAGCTGGAATGCAGTGGTGCAGTCATGGCTCACTGAAGCCTCAAACTCCTGGGCTCAAGCAATCCTCCCACCTCAGCCTCCCGAGTAGCTGGGACCACAGGCACATGCC